ATTTCAGCTCATCCTGATCCAGCAGATGGCACCTTCTTGGATTCTCATAAGCTCATATCAGCATTTCAGAAAGAAGCCATGACATGCTCCCCTATGAGCCTGGCCTTGGGATGTCCCCTTTTGTTGAAGTTCTTCAAGTCCTCTCTCTTCTCTCAGGTTGTTGATCTAAAATGTGTATCATTCAAAAATAGTCTCTCTGTTCACAGTCACCTCAGCAAGAAGGGCGGTATAATTGCATGCCTTAGGTCATCTTGCATGCTTTGGTGGCCAGATGATTCTAGATCAACCTTATGGCCAAATTCTGGGCTCATGCCAAATGTCATGTCACTCATGTTTGTGAACCAGGTGAATGAACATGCAGTGTTCTACAAAGATCAACCTGCAGAACATATTTTAACCAGCTATTCATTTGTTGGACCAATTATTCATTTGACATAGTGCACACGTGATGCTCGACTATCTATGAAGAGATTGGTTAACTGAGTATCAGAAGTCACCACCATGGCCTACTAACAGGCTGGATGCCCAGCCCTTACCGAGTCATGCCATTCCATGAAGAACATGCCATTCTCATAGGTATTACTTTGATGTATTTCACTCCAGGAGATCTGCACTACAGCTAAATGGACTGCACCATGTACCTTCTCCAGGCTCTATAAGATCATCATTGCCTTTCCTGACAGTGTGAGTGTTCTGATCATCTCAGAACACCTTTCCAGTCGGCCATAGGTGAGTCAGTTCCTACAGACCTTAGTGCAGAGGAGTGTCCAGGTGTTACGCACTGCCCCTGGTGGTTAGGCGGGATGAAATAGAGCACTGGTTACGAATGTAACTGTAAATTATTTTGCAGACTATATCCGTTTCTCCCACCACTTCAATATTATGGGTTATTTTGTGTAGCATCATGACATTTCATTAATACAGATTAATACATTAATACACTTATTTACCCAGTTGAAATGCTTCAAAAATAATAAACAGTATCAAGGAATACTTAAGCAAGGCGCTGTAACTGTACTGTAACTATAAATATTGTCTAATGCACATGAATAATGACAGTGTTATATATATATATATATATATATATATATATATATATATATATATATAATATATATATAATATATATATATATATATATATATATAATATATATATATATATATATATATATATATATATATATATATATATATATATATATATATATATATATATATATATATTGGACAGTCAACTGGAGGTCAACACTGAACAGGTAGATGTTTCATTTACGGGTCTGTAAATGGTTTAACACTGACCAAAGTCCACCCTAGATAACTGGCAGTATTAAGGAAACTTTTTGTTTGAGTGCAGCGTGACAGAGACCTCGTTCGTGTTCGCCGCTTTTCTTTGGCTCTCCTTATGTTATTAACACTTACAGAACAAGAACAAAGGCGAACACGGCATTATATTATTACAGTATAACAACTGTTTGGGAAGTTTCATGTTCATGTTCATCTGGAAAACCTGACCATGCTAATCAGACAGGGGGCGCTCATTGCTTTCTGTTTTTGTTCGACATTGATTGTGAGCAGTGAGGAGCAGGTCAGTTCACCCTGTTCAATAATAATAATAATAATAATAATAATAATAATAATAATAATAATAATAATAATAATGCATTAACGTTCCTTCTTTTTCCAACTGTAAGGGCATTATCAGATCTGTCACCACTCCAAACCAGGCATATTTCGTAGAAACTTTTGACACAAGCCCATTGGATAGGTACTCTTCTCGTACTCGTTATCCCTATAAGTAGCCTACACTATAAAGATTTTAAAACTCATGCATGTTATTTTTGGTAATCAATCGTTTTTGTTGTCAGAGCTGAATAAGATGCAAATCTCATATGTCTCCCATTTCTTTGTGCTGAAGAAAATGGGTTCTTTCCCAATCATTGAAAGAAGGAGATTCGGACATTTATAAATATGATGGTAAGATTAATGTCGTGTTTCTAACAAGTCTGCTTATATCTACGTGTCTGTGAAATGTGTGTCCCGCAGCTGTGCGCCTTGGTGGAAATTGATTTGTAAATGTGAATATGTGAGTAAAGTAAGCATGAACTAATTCAATTTGATTACCTAGCGGTTTAGAATTAGTGCTAATTTCATTTCCCAGATTAAATACTGAAATATCGCTAACATTTGTTGAGATTATGGGACATTTCTCCGCTGCAATTTTGCCTCAACGATTTAAGTGTTGAATATATTTGTGTGGATTGACCAGTTTGGATAAAATCTTCTACTCAGTGTATAGTAGCTAACAATCCATATTATAACATTGGTGGTCCACCCTTAGGAGCAGAACGGTTAGCGCACCACCATTTATATTACCAGCTCAGCGAATATTAACTGTCTTTTCCAAGTCCTCATTTAAATCTCCATATATTTTAAATTTAGCTGAAATGCTAATCACTTTTTTTTCTTTCTCGAGTGACCGGTGACCCAGCATATAAGCCAGTGCTCCACGGATTTGCTCTAGACAGCACGCTCACTGGCCCACCGAACATCTATAGAGTTATTATTGCAGCTAGCGATCGAAAATGGGAATTGCAGCGAGCAATAATAGAGGCCCATTGGGGCAGGAATCACACTGCTCTATGCTTGGGGAAGCACCGGACCATCCAGTTAATGGGGTTGCCAGATTGGGCTAGTTTAACAGTACTATTCATTGGAATTCAATCTTATAAAGTGCATACTGTGTCTCCATGATGTACAGAACCATTTCAATTGTAAAATCGAGTGAATTCAGATATATTGGAACAATTTTCAGTTATCAGGCCAGAAAATAAATGTTAAGTGTACCTATCCCAATTTACTGGATCTCCGAGTGTAACTGAATCCACCCTATATTCCTATATTATGTGAGGAGGAAAATGGGGCGTATGGATTTTAAGGTACTTCTAAAACCACTCAAAACGACCTATTAGACTATATGCTGGGTGACTGGATATCGTCAGCCCTCAACTGTGTTTAGACTTCTATTTAAAAATCGAATTTAATTTGACTTATATGTTTCTATCAGATGATGACACACCTCCCGATGACACACCAAACCCTGGTCTACATATAATAAGTGATGCTGCAATATTATTTTTAATTTAGGAGAATGGCTTTTAGAGGAATCCAAGAATCAGGCGTCACCAGGAAACAAGGGCCTCGTCCTTAAGTCTCCTGGCCGTCATCATGCTATTTCTGCATACCTACGGACAGTGTACCACTTCAAAGAAAAACCTCTGTGCCTACAGTAAGCCTTTTCATTCGTTCATCTTGGTTAATCACACCTTTACTTTACTTATAAAAATGATGGCACCTTGTAATGCTATGACATACCTGTGATGTCGCTGTAGTTCGAATCAGGTTTATATTAATGTTCTCATTCTAAAACGTTACCGTTTCTATCCTAACAACTCATTTACAAGGTCTAGTACGGCGGACGGAATGGCAGAGGTTTAATAATAAACGCTCAGTCCGATCACGTTTTATTGCTTACTTGGCTACATGTTTAACTGATCTCCACAGGTATGAAGTTTTCTTCCAAAACGGGATTGACTGTGGAGGAGGCTACATTAAGTTGCTGTCTCATTCAGACGACCTGCGTTTGGTGCGAGCGTTACTTACATCACCAGCACGGTTTACGATAAGCATGCCATCATTACCTAGACTGAACGTTTTATTTGTTTGTTTATTTATTTATTTTCGTATTCTTTTAGAGTCAGTTTAACGATGCCACACCATACACCATTATGTTTGGTCCAGACAAATGTGGAAGTATATACAAAGTGCATTTCATCATCCGCCACCGGAACCCACTGACGGGCATGTATGAGGAGAAACATGCCCGGCAGCCTGAGACTGACCTAAGCGACTATTTCACTGACCACGACCCCCATCTCTACGCTCTCAGTGAGTATTAACAAGAGCACAACATTAGGCCTGAAATCACTGAGCCAGGCTCGGGTTGGATTGAGAACCTTTAATTAATTGCATTACACAATGTAAAACAAGTAGGCGGTATCAACAATTTCATCACAAAGTAGACCAGGACGATTAGACGAGATCAATTATAACCATCGACAACAAAAGTATTAATGAACATGGAAACTCCATTAATCTGAGAAATGTTTTTTAGTTATCCTACGCAGCTTTGGTGTATTCCAATTTGTAATAAACCATGACCGAGGACCGATAAATAAAAAAAAAAAAACACCCTTGTTTTTCAGATTTGTATCCTGACAACACATTTGAAATTTTCATTGACCAAACACTAGTCAATAATGGCAGTCTCCTGGAGCACATGGATCCCCCAGTGATGCCTCCCCGTGAGATAGACGACCCGGAGGATACTAAACCCTTTAGCTGGGATGACAGGCGTCATATTCCAGATCCCACTGTAACGAAACCCCACGACTGGTACGTTTATTCAAAATGTTCTGCAAATGTCTGAAAAGGAAGGAAAATTACTGTGCATATTGCCTACGATTATGCTAATGCTCTAAAAAGGGGTATACTAGATGACGAGGTCGAATTTGAATCTTTTTTTAAAGACTTCTAAACACGTGCTCTTATGGAGAGACTGAAATACACACTCCCTGTGTTTAATACAGTAACTGCACTAGGTATTAATGGCAGATTTAATCTCTCCGTATTGTGCGTGAAGGGATGAAGAAGCTCCTCGGCTTATTCCTGACCCCATGGTGCAGAAACCTACCGGCTGGATAGAAGACGAAGAGCCTTTTATCCCAGACCCAGAGGCTCAGGCTCCACATGACTGGTGTGTAAGGCAGCTCCACAACACATGACAGCATTCTTAAGTCACTCTTCAGACTTTACACCCTCTCTTTATCTATACTGATACCATCTATCCATCCATCTTCTATACCGCTTATCCTCTTCAGGGTCAGGGGGAAAACTTGGAGCAAATTTACAAAATGAATTTAAAATGATTTAATTATAGCAGGCACGGTGGTGTAGTGGTTCGCATGTTTGCCTCGCACCTCCAGGGTTGGGGATTCGATTCCTGCTTCTGCCCTGTGTGTGTGTGGACTTGGCATATTCTCCCAGTGCTTCGGGGGTTTCCTCCCCCAGTCGAAAGACGTGTTGTAGGCTGATTAGCGTCTCTAAATTGTCCGTGGGGTATATGTGTGTGTGTGTGTGATGGGTTGGCACCCTGTCCAGGGTGTTCCCTGGGATAGGCTCTAGGTTCCCCAAGACCCCGTGGTACAGAAAATGGATGGACATTAATTATAGCTTACCCGGCTCCCGGTTTGATCCCAAGCTCAGATTAGCATCTGTATGGAGTTTAGCATGTTCTCCCCATGTCAGAGCATTATTATGTCTACGACGATTGTTATGTGATGTAAATGTGATTAAAATGTTGTTGTTTTTTCATTCTAACGGTGATATTAATTCCTTTGGCTAAACAAGGTTAGTGGAGATGGATGGGGAGTGGGAAGCTCCTCTCGTTGCTAACCCTGCCTGCTCCCATGCTGCAGGCTGTGGGCCGTGGAAGCCTCCCATGGTGCCCAACCCAGCATATAAGGGGAAATGGAAACCACCTATGATTGACAACCCAAATTATCAGGTAGACCTGCAACAGAATGCGACAGTAGGCTGATACTCAGGCTTAGCTCTAACTCTTGTCTAGTTCTTGTCTCAATTTCACTAATAACCCTTATTCTTGAAAAACGATCATTCCATTACACAGACCACAGATACGATCGGATCATTCTGAAACGAGACTAACAAGACGAACAATTCTGAGACAAATTAGAAGCAAAACGTTCCGGTTCATGCTGTACCTGTTTCAGGTTTCATTTCCTTTTACAAAACCTGTTATTAGCAGTCACGTGTGCCCTCGCACGTGGTCAAAACTGCAGGCTTTCCCCCGAACTGAAATATCTTACAGTACGGACAGTCTTAAATATATCTTCAAGTCAAAAGATATTACGAGTGTGAATTTGACATAGATACAGTATATGCACTGGAAGTGTGATGAACAGCAAAAGCAAAAGTACCTGAATACTTATTTACCTGCGACGTTAAACTAGATTTTGCGATTAAACTGCTATGAGATGAGGAATGTCAATGGGACATCAACCTAGTGAAAAAGAAACAACACGAGAGATAAACTTTGTAAAACTGACCCTGCTTGCTGGTTTCTGTATTAGGGAAAATGGCTGCCACGAAAGATCCCTAACTCGGCTTACTTTGAGGACACTCGGCCATTCAGAATGAGTCCTGTGTCTGCAGTAGGGTTCGAGTTGTGGTCCCTTACTGGAGATGTGCTGTTTGACAACATCCTGCTGTGTGACGACATCGTGATTGCCAGACGCTGGACAGACGACACCTGGGGACAAAGGCAGACAGTAAGATGTTTTAAGCTCCCTAGACTCACTAGGACATACCAATAGCAGCAACTTATTGTAAAATCTAGAAATTCGAATGAATGGAGCTTAAACTGTATCGTCAGTTGGCACTGACAGACAAAGTGTTGTGTAAAATGGCTCAGAGAAGGACATCAAGAAGTTTGATAATATTGCCAGCGCCATATCTCCTAGTAGTTCTCACCTGGTTTCTCACTGGAGCTAAGCAAGGTTGAGCCTGGATGGGAGACCTCCTGGGGAAAACTAAGGTTGCTGCTAGAAGTGGTATTAGTGAGGCCAGCAGGGGGTGCTCACCATGTGGTCTGCGTGGGTTCTAATGCCCCAGTATAATTATGGGGACACTATACTGTAAAAGCAGCACTGCCTTTTGGATGTGACCTTAAACCGAAGTCCTGACTCTCTGTGGCCGTTAAAAGTCCCAGGACACTAATAGTAAAAGAGTAGGGGTGTAACCCCAGGGTCTTGGTGAAATTCCCCCATTGGCCCATGTCTATCACGGCCCCCTAATAATCCACATCTCTGAATTGGCTACATCACTCTCTTCTCCTCTCCACTAATATATGTGATGGACGTTCTGGCTGCCGTCGCATCATCCAGGTGGATGCTACACACTAGTGGTAGTTGAGGAGACCCCCCCCCCATACTATGTAAAGCGCTTTGAGTGTCTAGAAAAGCGTATGTATAAATATAACTGTAACTAACAATATTAGTTTATTCATCTTTGTTCAGTAATCACTTTATCTTTGTCAACATGTTTTTGTGAGGTAGGAGGAAACTGGATAACCCTGAGGAAATACATGGAGAATAGAAACTACACAGAGACAGTAACCCAAGCTCAGGATCAAATTGTATTGAATTTGCCTGTATATAAAAAAAAATACAGGTCTAGAAATAGGTTTAATAACCTTATAGTTGGTGTATTGTAATCTTTTAATAGGAAACGCTAGATAAGTGTGACTATATTAAAGACATTTTTACTTGCTAAGGTGCCATTTTTTTTTTGCAGTGCATCTTCAATAAGCTAGATCTTGAGTAGGTCAATGGGAAACTTGGTTTTGTGACACACTTATAGAATTTGAATGCCTCTTCTAGCATGGACTTGTGGAGCGGTTACTGTTTGCCACAGAAAAGCGTCCCTGGCTCTGGGGTGTGTACGTCTTCAGCGTGGGCCTTCCCATCATCCTCTTTATCAGTTTCATGTGGCCTGATAAGGTAGAACCTCTGTTGGATATTTTGCATATTTTAGACAATCATTACACCACACCAGATTCATTTATTTGATCATTTTATATCCGAGTCATTTGATCGGTGCGATGATGCGACGTTCACCGGCATAATTATTCTTTAGTAAACTTTGGGAGACGTTCATATATGACGTGTGTTTGTATGTCAGCGATTCGGCCCCTCGGATCAGGATTATTACTACAAAAAATCTGACGAGCCTCAGTCGGAGAGTCCACAGGATCCAGAAGGTCACAGGAGTTTCACCGACTGTGGTGGGAACATTAGATTTTAAACGTTTGTTTCAATCGCGGTAATAAATTGCAGCGTTTTCTGATTTGTACATTGATTTATTTTTATTTTATTTTTTTTATATGGCAATCAAGGACCCAACAACTCTACTGGCCTGAGGAAACGGGAGGTCAATACAGTACAGAAAAAATCAGACTTGGAGTTAAAGGTAATTAGGTAGTTAGAGATAACTCAAATATCCACTGGTTTGGAAAAAAAAATATTTAAACTTCATTTAAAACCTCTTTGTTCATTCCTGTCTACAGGTCATCAAATGACGCAGCTCTGTGGTTTACTGAACACGGCATGGATAAAGCAATGGAAGATAAAACATGAATGGTTTCTAAGCAACATCCTACCTAAAATATCCTAAACTTCAAATCAATTCACCTAGACACTCCAGAGGGGGGATTTATTATTATTTTTTTTTACATGTTTAAAATAGTAATCATGTGACTTTCAGATAGCCTTGATAGGATAGTATAGAAATGAATTTCGTCAAATGCGATCTTGTGAACTGTAAAAGTCTGTTTCAAATAAAGCAAATAAAGTTTTTCCCTAAACGAGGACGGGCTACATTTAGTTCACTTATTTATGATCAGAATGATCACACAAATGATACAATTTCGTGGTCTTTAGTCATACTGTACTCGGTTTTAGAAGAAGGTTCAAATACTTATTCCCCACAGTGTCAATGATCCGTTCTAAAGGATTCATACATACATACATACATGCATACTCCGCTCTGATTGGTCAGATGTCCCAGTCTGTCGTGATTGGTCTACCGCTGTCAGCGTTTCAAAAAGGAAACACCTACTAACATAACGAGTTTCAGCTCCGTCCAGAGGCGGGGCTTTTTGTTCTGACCCTACGTAGGTTAGTACAGGAAGTAAAGTCAGGAATCGCTAACGACTCGATTCAGCCGTTCAGAGTCGGTTCCTTCTTTTGGGAGTCAATGACTCAACGTTTGTCGTGCGCTTTGATTTTTGAGACGTTGCAGATGTTTTTTCCGTTCACAAACAGCTCTGTAACACACTACATATCGGGTAATATTTGAAAAAAACCATAATAGGTGCACTTTAAGATCTCTCCAGGAACTACAATCTCGGGGCAAACAGTCCTAGCTGAACTGGTCACTGTGTCTATTTGAATGGTAGTACTGTTTATAAATGTTTATACCCACACACAAGTTATAATAAGCAACAAACTACAAGACAGTAAAGGCAACCGTTCACATTCAGTACCAATAATGTATTGTGACACATCATTTTAAACACACCATCAAAGTGAACAAGCTTTCATTCCTCAAATGTAATACAATACAACCATTTGAGATAGAACTTTATCCTCTTTAATCTGATGAATAATTAAATAATTACATGATTCGTGGCATATTAATAATTGCATTATTATGACAAAAAGCAAACAAAAAAAGTGCACTGTTCGATGGTGGGGGTGGATTCTTTTTTCAACTGACACATATATAACAATCAATCAATCAGGGAGACTGAAAATCTCCTCCCACTCACCAGTGCATACTAATCCATGTACGCTAACTGTACATCTGCAGTTGAGCTCAATATGAGTCGCGGCATGTACATGATAGAACCGTGGGGATCACTGTAATAACATCGACGTTTACGGCGTCTGGCAGACACCCTTATGCGGAGTTAATCGAATTGATCTCAGTTGAGGGTTAAGGGCCTTGCTCAAGGGCCCAACAATGGCAGTGCTGGGATTTGAACCGCCGAGCTAGCACTGCCCCGTTATCGTCGTATAACGTACATAATCTATAATGTTTAAACATATAGTACAACTTTAAACTGTGACAGGATTTGTGACGGGACCCGCACACACCAACCGTACATGTGAATTAACGCATTAACAAGACGAACAAACGGTACTTATAGCATCCCACCATGTTAGAACCGTGCATGGGTTATTTTTCTCCGAAAAAGGAAGAAACGTAAACCAGTATCCGTGAGCTTCACACACTCCTCGATACAGACACTGATTATTGTTTGGCTTTCTCACATTTTTTTTTTCCTTCCTTCAAATATTAACACTAATACCATGGATACGACGATATTGGAATTTCCAACTACTTCATACATCATAGTTATCACAATAAAGT